GCACAGACGAGGAGAGCCTCGAAGTTGGCAGTAACAACCCAGAAGAACGGACTGAATAGATAAAGGATAAGCGAAAAACAATGCTCTGAGAACGCGGCAGCACGGAGAGTTAGCAGGTCCCCCAAAATAAGCCTTTTCGGCATAGTATAACCGCGAAAAAATAAAGACCAAGGATTCAGGACTGAGGGTCCCTTTGCGGAAAAAAAGTTCAGGTTCTCGAAGAGTTTTTGAATTTCGTGTAGACCCGCTAAGGAATGTTCGTGAATTTTGTGCAGGCTAATCGAGCACTGCTTGATGGAGCGGGGCTAAAACTCGATTGGCACTCTAACTGAGTCGGTGTCTTTTTTTTTTACTTTTTTTTTTTTTATTACAGCAGTGAGAATGAATTCGTACACAGACTTTTCCGAGCTGACCGCGAAGTAGAAATATCTGTATCATTCGCAAACCGTGGACCTTTGTTTAAACACTCCTCGGTAGCCGTTGGCGATAAAAGTACTCGAAAAACGTTGGCCGGTTTACATACTGTCGCTTTGGAGTCTCGTCAGGTCCTGCAGCGGAAAGCTGAACCGTTGTCATTCTGTAGCTTTAGCAAAGCCTTCCAAGCTATACGCAGATTGAAGGCGCGATGTTATACAGGGAGACGTCACTGGCCCTAAGCTGCTGCTACTACAGGGCAACGAGAAAATGCCGATGAAACAAGGTATTAGTTACAGTGATTAAATGAGCGTAGATTCTGTAAGGCGCAAGTTCCCTGAATTACGATATGCGGAGGCGCCTAGCTGGGCTTTTTTTGGGGAGATTTTCTTCAAAAATCACAACGTCCACAACTTAGAACGGCAGCTGCTCTGGGCTATTCAGTTAAATAGTATTGCCTAAAATAAGAACTTCACCTAACTCATGTAAATGTCTCAGTCAACAAAGGTAATCAAACAAATTGCTCCTGGGCTGAGGCAATACTGCAGTGTGGGAAAACATGGGACGTGAAAGGACGATGACTGCGGAATGAGGGCACTTAGCCCGATAGCGTTGCCTAAGTGTAGCGGATTGATATATGTACTAGGATATACTATTAATGGTCTGTATGCTTTTAGGGTGTACCATAGAATTCGATATAGTCAGTCTTACTCAACTACGGATCTCATCTGGAACCGATTGTTGGATACAATGATAAAAAGAGTTTACTAGGTAACATGTTTTCATTTTGCTCGTTTCTCTATGCAGCGGTTCTAACTAGCTATTGTTATGGCAATGTAGCACATTATTGCAAGGATGTTTATGTTTATCTGAATAAGGCCACCATGTCAGGGTATCTTTCAAAAGATTTGATCCGTGTCGAATCCTGAGTTCGCTTGATAATGACACAGTATGTTTTCTTCCATTTTTTAGGCGAAAAAATGACGCGAAGAACAAGCACAGAAAACATCCTTAGCTTAGTCGTAATACAAAGGATGCGCCAATCAATTGCAGAAATCCAGAAGGTGTGCCGATCAATCACGGAAATGAGCGTTGGCTTGCTCACAATTCAGAGGATGTTCTTATCATAGATAAAATCAGATTTTCGGCCAGTGGTGCATGCTGTGTTTACGTTTTGAATGCGATGTTTAGTGAAGGTCACCATACTTTTCAAGGTTAGCGTATTAATATAGAAATTCATCTAATGATAAACTGTTGCGCTATGGCTGAAATACCTCTCGGCAAAATCACGTATCAGCCTATGCCAACGAGCTGATACTAGTTGGCTACTTGAAAATAAAAGTATACTTAAAAAAAGGCCCATGCAATCGCTGAACAGCCCAGATTTACATGCGACGGGTTACAATATATATAGAGCATGAAAATGTCACTCGGCCACCTAGTTATAAAGGCATTCGCACATCTGCAAAGGGAACATTTAAAATTATTTCGAAGCTTTACGTGTTGCTGATATGAGATAAGCTTGGCCGTCAAAAATTATGCAAACGATCTCGTGAAAATTAATTTTCTGCTCAGATACAATCGATAAGAAAAGGCCCAGATGGAACTATTGTCATTAAAAGCTGTCCTTTACTCGAAACATCAACAAGTTTTAACAATGCACGTTCTTTAATAATAATAAAGGACAGTTTGCAGAATTAGGCGACTTTCCTTTGAGTAAACACACGTTTTCTTCGGATTCACTCGTGCCTAATTTGCAGCGTGTTCGTATCATTTAAACATTGTAATGAGATAGATCCTCAAAGGTCGTCGTTTTAGGCATCAGATTTAAGCGCATTAACGGTACAGCGTCCGAGTTTCAATCATTGAAAACTCTAGGTTTATATTTCAAACAATCACAGAGGAAAAAAAACTTTACCCAAATAAGGAAAAAATGTTCTGTATAAAAATCAAACGAATTAGTTTCTCTGCAAATCTTTCTCATGGTGTGCACGATCAGTCTGCGTTGTACTTTCTGCATTAACGGAATTGCTCTGTCTTGACATTTAAGTTTTTTAATGCTCTCTCGATAGTATCCAGAGTGTCCCCAGCCATAAGGTGCGTAAAACTTTCTGCTAAATACCAATCGATTAACATCCTACATTCTTTACCTTTAGATTAATTCTTCATTCTTCCCCTTCGTCCGTCAGCATCCCTGCCAAGAAGAACATTATCTCTGTGAACTCTTCTGAAGCCTGAAGAACCTGTTTCATATGATCTGTAGTGTTCCTTTCCTAGCGAAAGAGCGCTCGCTCAGTTTGCTGAAACCTACAGAATCAACGATTAGCTTCTGAGAAACGAATACGTTATTGTGAAACGTATCCATCCTACTATGTAATGTTGGTAATGATTATATAGAATATCAATCAATCTGGTCGCCGAAAAAAGATTTATACAGATAGTTGCGAAGCGCTTGGCTGTACGTATTTTTAAATTGCGCCGATGAAACTCTTAAGCCATGCTTGCAATACTGCGAAAACTATAATGCAAGCACTGGCTTTTCCTTCTGAATGAGCGACACTATCTATAGTCATGGATCGATATGTTCCGAATCCCCGAGCCTTATCTCGATACGGCATTGCCACTAATTGGTATTTGCAGATGACTAAAAGACAAATCAGCAGAATAGGACATTGCGGCGTTCGCGGAATATTTGTATTTTCTAAACACCGAACCTTCAAATTCAAAAGGATACTAAAGTGCATCGATACTCAACTTGAATGCAAATGTGCAACCGTTTATGGGCATCCAATAATTTTTAGTTTATTGGCTAAAAAGGCATTACCAGATCTTCATTTAATATTTGTTAAGTTGTTGCCCAACAACGGCCGGTTCACCAGTCGTTTGTGACTAGCGTACCTCAGCAGCACCTCAAAGAAGTGAGCTCCATCTCAAACTTGGACTGTCGTCAACAACCGTGTACATGCTTCAGCGGGGCGGGCGGGGGGGGGGACAACGACTTCGAAACATGGCGACTAACATTCATCGACGTTTTCCGACAGGGATTTGATTAAGGTGTAATGCAAAATAAATCTATCGAAAATTCAATTTTTTCACTTACGATGTACATACAAATAATGCAGTGACTGAAAAAGGAGGCCAAAGACTGCTCGGAACGTCACTGAGTAAAGTAGGAACCATTTGAGGTAGATGCGCCAAGACTTCTGAGCATTTTAATGTATCAGTCAATTTAGTTACATATACCTATGAACCTATGCGAAAATTAGGGTGGCTAGCCTCAAATTAGTTCATCATGCAAATACGCTCTGATTCCAGAAATACCATACCGTCTGATCACGCAGAAATGGGATAAAATCAGTAGTTTTTCTAAAAAAAAAAAACTATACGGCTGAATTACACAATAGCTGGCTTATTGTACAATCTCTGGCACTACCGTTAAATGTTCTACTTCTGCTAGTCATATTGGTAGCCGAAAAGTTTCAAGAACTTGCTTTGTTGTATTTACTTGCTTTACCATAGCAGCAATTATGAGACGATTTAGTGGTAATTATGTCAGCGCCCACTCTTTCTAACTAAAAGCATTCCCCAGAACGAATTATTGGATTTAATAATGTGACAACGGGCTAGCTTTAATGAAGTGTTCTATTTTTCAAAAATGTTCATTTTCGCACGTTTCGTTATCATTTTGCCTGGCACCTTCTACCGTTCACTGCATCATCGAGTTCACACATGGTACACGAGGCGTTTGCAGAGAAATGAGATAGCGCCTGAGCACGAACGTTTGTTGTTTCGTACGGTGGTATCCATAGGCAAGTCTGAAATGACGTCGCGCTCCCCAACAGGGTTGAGAAGATGTGTGCGTGTGCCCCCATATCTAAGTGTGCGTCTAGCGGTGTTTGCTTGCAAGAAACGGGTAAAGGTTGGCCGGATTTCGTGGGAGGATTTCAGGCTAAATGACTGATGTCCCTGGAGAGTTTGGCTGGCTTTTTTCAAGCCTGGGTCCAGCGACGCTGCAGTCGCTCGTTTCTTTCTCGCCTCGATAGAGTAACGCAAAAGTCCTCGTCTCTAGCAAGACGTCGTTTTTCTTGACCTTATTTTCTTTAACTTTTATATCAGCTTGAGTATCAAAGTCGAAGGCACTTCATATTCTAGCCAAAGGGGCAAATGTTCACCCCTTGGAAGCTTTGCAGGCCATTCGACCAGCATCCAATGGAGCATGATCTTGTAAAAAAAATCCGTGACTTCATAATTAAGCTGCCCATACGCACTGCGGTAAATGACTTCGAACCTGTTTAAATTCTTCAATCCTTCACAACGTTATTATTAGAACCTTAGTTTTATACTTTAGGGCTGTTGTCTGTAACGAGCGTAAACTATTAGCGAGTACCAGGTTCACAAGCACGGTAAAAGGCTTTGTCCAACAAAACCTATGTGAAGAAGATTGCTCGAGCATTGAACAGTTCCAGTATAGTAGGGCATCACTTGTCTGCTTAGGAGAAACTCAGAATATAGAAGTATAGTAACAGAAATACAATTCTAATTAAGCTAGACTAATCCAATTTTCTTGTCGTTTTGTTATATTGCAGCGTTCTGCTTTTCGATACGATGCTAAAAGAGAAGAATCGACGTAGTGTTAATACGCCTAATTGACACTGACGAAAGCAGAAAAATGAGTTCCGACGACGTATCGGATTGGCCGCAATCATCGCCGGCTACAAAAACCAGACCTACCGCAGCGTGGCAAGTACCACGTTTAGAGCTGAGATTAAAAGCTGGCTCTGCTAAAACCCAGGCCGTCATGAACAACCAGTGGAATCAGCGTGTTAATGACACCAATCGTTATAGTTATTATAAGTATGGCATTAAAAAGAATAAAACAAATTATCAAGATTTGCTAAACAGTCAAGACTTCGACAAGGTCACAGCCGGTCAAAGGGTCATACCGGGGGATCGTGTATCAAACCTAAGGAATCTGCATCGTTTTCAATGTCGTTGCTTAGATACGAGAACCCCTTTTATCGATTACCAATTGGAACCTAGATCGCGAGATCACGTCTTATCGTCGATGGTAGTCAATAGTATACAAACTTCTGCTTCGTCTTTTTTATGCCCAACGAGAAGCTCACTGGAAAAACAAATCGACGTGAATGTCTTCCTTTTAGAGATTTACAATACGGAGATAACGACAAACAATCATAACGATTTAACGCTCAAAAGCAAAGCAGTAACGACAACGTCCACAGTACTGAACGCGTGCAAAAATCACGGAGGGATGATCTCTAACATTTGTAGAAATGACTCTAATGAAGTTTATGCCGATGATAAAGACGGCGACGAGCAAAAGGGGGGCGACGATGATAATTACAGTTCGACGACGTCTACTTTGGATCACAACAGCCAGCAGCTTGCTATCGGCAAACCAGAACTCTTAAGCCTATGGAGATCTCCTGTTTGGCCCGCACATATGCCCAGCAAAGCTGAAAGCAAATACCTGCGTGATCCGGAAGCAAAGCCAAGAAAAAGATACAGACTAAATCGACAGAGATCGCTAGATGTCACTGCTAGAAATGACGAGCCTTTAGTTTGTATTCGTCAGCTAATACATCGTTTAGCCAGTCGATACGTGGCTACGTCACTGTATACTGTTTCCGGAACAGGGATGGGCAACGCTCTTTTGCCCCTAATGGTTGTCTTGGCAGCCGCCGCATGTCTTCCGAGTGCTGTCGACGGCGCGAAGTCGTCAACGGACGCATTTGCTATTGGTAGGTCTATTACATATCTTGGTTACAGATAATATTAACTGACGTAAGACCCTCGATATACAGAGGATGCGTAACGCATTAATGTTAGCCAAACGCTAACGACCCATTCAATCGATAGCAATTAGGCTAGTAGCAATCAGAGGTAAAATCGCTGCCTTTTTGTATGGTTTCAGTTTTTGCAGAAAGGTCCTCCCTTGTCCATTTTCGCTACGTGAACACTTTATTGCAAAAGCATTTCACGCGCATAGACACTAACTATGATAGTAATTTGTTTCGAAGTTTAACTTCGGATAATCAGCCGTCGAAAAAGCTTTACGATATTTAAGCTACTAAATATATTTTAGTTGCAAGCTTGAACTTTGAGCACAACTCAACGCCGGAACCTAAATGGAGTGAAGAAAAGCTAGTTAATTTTTTAGGAAATTAGTTATCATGCGTCGCGCAGTAGAGGCCAGATACCTAATAAGAATGATTTCGAAAAGCTAGATAACGAGTGCTAGTTCCATACCGAGTGCAGCCCAAAGGTTGATAATGCTTAGTTGTTGATATTTGAATCTCTCTTAAAACAGAACTTTAGGTAGACCTGAACAGGATCATTTGCGCCGTTTTGTTGTTGGGCTGTGATTGGATGCCGATAATGTTATAGAATATTGAGAAGCGCGTTCATCACACGCGAGAAACCTTCAGTACTTCAGTGACTTTCGTCGAACACTTACTTGTGCGAACACACGAGGCTGGCGAATGCTCGTGGTTCTCGCGACAAGCCGTTAACTTGGAGAAAAGTGCTGGGACGAAAAGCGTTCGTTCTCAGATGGTCGGGCTCCCTTAGTGAAGACGCCTACCACGAAACGGTGAATTCAAGAAAGCGTAGGTAAAAACTTGTACGGATACAAACTCAGGTGATACATGAGTAGACCCCTGTGAGCATAAACACGACATCTGTGGAGCAGTAACATAGCCAGAATTTCCAATAGTAACATTTCTGCTGTATGTAGAAGTGGACTATTTAAAAAGTCACGGTGTTCTTGGTTTTGCTAATCTAATTTTTAGAGCTGTCTAGATAGAGTATCTTAGTTCCTTCTAGTACACATAATAAATGGTGCCTTGAAAGAAGGCTATCATGGAAACTATTCGTGTTGTACAGAAGTAACTAAAGCCCTGTGTGAAACTCATAATAGTAGGCACCGTTTAAGGACATGAACTCCTTAACGAGGACCTTTGTTCATCGTGCCACTAGCTAAAGAACCTTTCTTGAAAAATTGACTCCGTTTCATTAGCCGTCTGTCGCCAAGCGGGATATGTAACATAATTTCTATAAATACAACTGTCAAAATATATACAAAGCCCAGAGAACCTGTTGTTTATCGTTAAATGGCTTTAATATCGTTTATTGCATTATCTCTATAGATAAACACTAATCCAGTCTCAGCACGTGGTTGAAAACTGACCAAAAGATTCCCATACGCCCTTCGTATGCCTCGGGACTGTCAATTCATTGTACAGTCTTTCGCTTGACTGGCTGACGATTCCTAGTGATTCTTCTAACTGCGTCTGTCATCATCATCGGCACATAAAAATCGCTAATGTTTTGGTTATGTTCGCATAAAAACTTCCCGCATACCCCGCGGGGATGCTATCACTATGGGCAGACTAAGGTTTGGGACATCTGTGTCCGGCTAACTGTTTGATCCCAATGGCATTGGTGCGCCTGACGCAATAAGATAAGTACATGTCCAGCAAGATGTAAATAAATTTCACATCAGATCGACACACAAACACATTGTGCTTATACATTATTATATTGCAGATTATTGAGTTACATAATTTAATGAAAAGAGATAGCACCAAGATCTCCATACTAGTCTTTGTCATGCCAAATATATTGTTGACTAGAGACTCATACTCGCGTATTGATGTAGAGTGATTCTAGGCAATTTATTTTAACAAACATTATTTGCTCTAGATTGAAAAGGACTACATAAAAAAGATCAAATGAATGAGGTCAAATGGCCTGCTAAAGCCAAATAAGGCTGACACCGTGGTTAACTTACGCACACAGAACGAGTTATGGGTTAGTTGCATGAACAATTCGAGTCTAGCGCCAAGTTAAAATCCTTTATATGAGAATTTTATGATGAGCCGGGCTTTCATGAAAAAAAACTTCAAGAAATAGCACTATGGTCGAGGATAGCTACACGTATCAGTAATTAACATGTATAAGTGGTTCGTGTCAGCATCGAAGCTGTACGCAAACTTGCAGCCATGGCAGAAAAGAACGCGTTCCGATCGAAACTCAACTGAAGGTCAACTATTATTATCCGACCCCCTAGAGCTAGAGCTAGATCAACCATCAACGTAAAGCTTCCTTCATTTTTCGGTGCTATTTTCGTCAGTTTCCATACAGTTTCCTAGAAAAGATCTCTGTAAGACAAACCGATAAATCTTCTATATGTGCTAAAGACTACTTTTCGCAAGCGAAATATCCACAAAAAGCGCTTAGAGAGCCATTTTTAATAATATTAATATTTTGGTACATGTATTAACGGTAGTTTCTGACGGAAGTGTTTGATCTATCATCTCCTTTGAGTGTTGCGATGAGCTCCAACGGTGAATATTTTCGAAAATTCTTGCGCCTCTTTACGGACAGTTTGACATGTGCGAACTGCCCTGCAAAAAGGGGCAAAGGATCTTCAACGCATTTTTCTAGCTGCCCTCACTCAGCCATTCTTGCTGCTTTCTTATGGTTACTGTTGAAATGTAACTACTAGTCAGTCCTAATTAACGAGCACTTCGCTTTACGTACACATCTTTTTTGTAATATGTGAAAATCAACCTCATCTGTAACGTAAAGCAGCTTTACGAAGACTATGGCAACTTAGTTAGGACATTAGAATAGCTGCCTAGCACTTATTTGTCCAGGCTACGACCCGAACACGGGCGTCTGCATAACGGGCTCCGAAAAAGTACAATACAATACAGCAAACAAAAAAAAATTGAAAAAAATACGATGCTCCGTAGAAGTGCAATAATTTTGCTCGAGCCTCTGGGCCTTGAGCCTAGCTGGTCTAACTGAAAATGAGGATTGATAGGTACGGCGTTGCGTCAATTACCTTAAGCTAGGCGCGGTAACCAGGCGAGATATGTTCTCGTTACTGTAAACCCACGAGCCTCGAAAGAATCGACAAGATGGTGCGTAAACTTCTCCACGGTCCACTTTTCGACAGAGTGGATATTATCCCTGGGCATTTTGTACCTTGGATAGTACGAATCGATTCAAGTAAATACAGTATGCAAACACTCCTGCCACATTTCAAAGGCGTGTTGGGTACCAGATAGCGTTTACATGGCAATGCGACATTCTGCATTCGCCGAAAAATTCAGGCAATACCTAGCTTGTCGTCGATAGCTATTCTTCGCTAAGCACAGCTTGAAGCACTGGAGTGTACGTACGCAATTCGGAATTTTATCGAAACAGGATACAGAGTCTTCGCACAAGTGCTTTCAAGAACTAAAAAAGCGCACAAACGACGGGGACCATAAGGGGGGGCCACGATAATTCAATGGCTCTGAAACTTTTTGGGGTTGGCGTTCTATTATCACCATTTTACCGAAGTTGCAGTCCTTTATACAAGCTCTTAAAAGCGGAATATTCTTTCCACTACATAAGAGCGGCCCTTTCAGAAAGTGGATTTGATGACATTTTTGGGGGGATCTTCAACCAATTCTGGGCAACGAAGGTCGGACAATTGCCCAATGTCCCAGCTGGCGCCTTTCGACCCAGTTAGTCAAATGGCATTCATTCCTTCCATGTCTTGCTTTTTCGAGTGATCAGGAAATCTCACTGTAGCCGTCGATTGGAACGACGTGACCGAGGCTTGTCGTTTTCAAACTAGACCCGACAAGTAACTTATTAGTTTTCCATATTTATGCTCTTCTTTTGTAATATATCTACAAATACCGATAATTGCGATTCTGTCCTTGGCACTGTTCGTTTCATCCTGGGGCCAGACATATCCGGCAATGTTTAGTGAAAGTATTACCGGCACAACAATTATATAATACAAATAGAATGAACCCTGCGATTTAACATAACTCAAAATACTTTTCAGACAATTTATAGTAACTTAGCATAAAAAGTTACAATTCAAAAAATAAACGACGTTTTTCCTATTTAAAAAAAATACTGTAATAAGGGAACATACTTTATCAGGCTCGACGTATTGGCATCAAAAAAAATAAATAGCCATTGCTTTCTGTGTAGGATCAAGCGTAATGGGTGTTTCAAGTTTTACATTCAAGTCTGTGTTAGGATGTCATTAAGAGAGCGTCGACCGTAACAATAAGTTTATTTCGAAACTTTCTCCTACAAAAGAATTTATAGTCGGTGACATTATTTGAAGCGCGACTACAAGGCCTGTTTGGCGGCGTTGATTTTCTATGCTTAAATTCAGCGTATGAGAGGCTTATTATGGCGTCATAGCTTTTTTGTTCATCGAACACGAATCGCTTGATATCCGCGAAAAAACTTTATTGTGAAAACTTCAATCCTCGGTTGATACTTTGCACTCTGCCGAAGGCACAAACGGGCAACTACTTTTTTCACAGCGACCCCTGTCGCATCAGCTGCTTTTTACATTGCGTTTCACTTGGTCCACCACTACCGATTTAACTAAAAATACTCCAAAATTTTCACGACGAAAAACAAAAATTGAAGGGGTCAATTTTTTTTTGCTTTTAGAGGTTGTCTTGTCTCTTCGTCTGTGATGTACAATATATCAACTTATTTTTCCTCAAGTCAGTCAGCGGAAAACTTTTACACTATCTCATCATATTCCTCTGTACACGCTTACGCCTCGTCAATTTCATTGCCATAATATCCACTCTCTCGTTATCGGGTTTGGAATGTTCAACGACAACCTGCGCCTACGATCTATCAAACGTCAAGCCTGCAGCTTCTTCCTTTGCCGCGCTTTCAAACTTCATTAGAAAATATTGATACTTATTTATACATCATCGTTCAGAGAATAATAGAATTCGGGAATAAAAGAACGGGAAACCAACCGATCTCCCGTAGGCGTCGAACTTGTGCTAAGGTTAGATAATTTCGAAAGTACAACTGTATTTCCATTTGGTATTTATGAACTTTCATGCTGACAAGCTTCGGTTGACTTGCCATAGGTTGCGTACTCTTCTGAAGACCACGTGCAAATATTTCATACCATTTCGACATAGCACTTCAGCGAACGGGATGCCATCATCTCGCAACCAACAGCTTTGCGCGTACGAATCATTTCGAAGTACCTGCCGTGCCGTGCATTAATTCAGGCAGCCGCGGACGTCGGCATCGTGATGCCGTTCGAATACCCTACGGTGCCGCACTCCCCTGGCGCCATGGATGAAGTTAATAAAAATTAGAACCGGACATCTTCCCGAAGGACGCGGCCATCCTGCTATTTTCGTTCCGTAAATATATTTACAATGTTCACAAACTCTCTTAAGCATTTTTTTAGGACAACAATTCCTTTTGAAAACGTACCGACAATTAATGAACGCTTTTCGACAGCACTATTCACCCAAAGCGTCACGGTCTAGGGCGGGCCCATAGATGTTCACTGGCGGCTGCATTAAGCCGCTCCAGCGATCACTTCCATATGTATATCCTGACACCATATCGTAGTCAGTCTTGGTCGAGATTTCGAGGTACCGTTCTGCATAAACATTTTGTCATTTAAAAATACGCTGTCTGTCTCTTCTTGTAAAATATCATCGCAAAAAGATGCGCTTAAACTGAACTTTAGGCTTACGATGGTCTATGGCAGCGCGTGCTAACCCTAAAAAATAATAATAATCATAAAAAGAATAACATGGCTAGGGGTGATGGTGGCCTTCAAAGACTGTTGTTGTGTCACAAAAATGAAACCCGCTATAGCATCGTTTTTGGTTGCAATAGTCTGAATAGAAAGAGAAAAATGGTTCTGAAACTCAATGTTTTTTTGGACAACGAGGGAAACATGGATGGAAACAAGCTCGGAGGCACAGATATCGTACGCTAAAGTGGCTACTACAATAACTTCACTCAAATACCATCGAATATCTATGGACATTGTTTAAGTAGCTATGCTAAAAACCGTTAGCCGATAATGAACGCTAATTAAAAAGACTGAACTCTCGAAAAATCTAGAACTGTGCCCCATACTTGTCGACAGTGCACACTGAAACACTCAAGTGTGATACGCAAAACCATAAACGAATACATAGGTCAATAGAAGACAAGTGCCTTAATTCTTTGGTAAGGATTCCGTCGGCAAAGAAATGGCCTAATACATTGGTTTTCTTAGCATTTATGTCTTGCAGTTAATAAAGCAAATCAAGTACGATCGTTGGATACTCTTAGCTTTGCCTCTAGGAGATTTTTATTTATAATAAACAGAAATATACTGAGATATCTAGGTGTACTCCCTAAACATTGTCTGCTTTACTGACCGTATATAATAAATATCCAAGGTCTTCCACTTCATGTTTTACATTATATATCATACGGCGAGATAAGGAAAACTATATCGGAATATGATATATGATAATATCTGTCACGTGTTTCTAGTGCAGGGTTACGGATCCTGGCTCTCCGGATCCGCAATACTCCACGCGTGCTCGCTTGTAGCAGCAGGTAAATACAGCATTTAGTGAGCCGACAGGATGAACGGCTCCGATGTCCCACTTACAGTTCTAATGTGTTGCTGTACATCATCGAGGAAATCGATGGCGGAGCGTCAACCGAGACAATAATTGTTAAGGACTACGAGAGCTCGAAAAATACACGCCAAAGTGTGAAGAACTTCCTTGAGCCGTCTGACTCCATATGCGTTCAGGAAGAACATAGAATAACTTGATAAGACGCTGCAACAATAATAGGCGACCTTAGATTGTCCATATGAGGCTGCTCCTCATAAAGATGACGTGTTTGCTCTTGTTGTAGTGCGCCATTGGTCTCAAGCATGATTGAAATTTAACATAGTTGAGACAAAGCATTTGCGTAACTGTGGTCCGACTTAATCTAAAGTAGTGCTATTACCATAAGGAAAACAGGTTTTCAAATAAATTAGACAATGTCTTCCAAACAGGGAGTTAGCAATAAGTGAGACATTATTTATAAATAACCATTAATAAACAACGCCTGCGATAGTGTGACAGCTCACCGTCCTAGCGGACCGGGTTTGGAACTGTGCATTGCCAAAGACCAAATCGTTGGTCATGCTTAGCTATCCATGCTTAGCTAGTTCCGGGCGTAAAACTCGAAACAAGTTTATTCTCTATTTAGTAATAAGTTCTCTAAAATAAATTCAGCAGATCCCAAAGACTCAGCGAATTGAATTAGTAGCGGGCTATCCTTTGTCGTATCCACTGTTTTGTACATAAATCGTCAACTCGACAATCCTGCCCTCTACCGGACGGTGATATTCTGGAAGTTTATTATTCAAAATTTTCCAGGATATCACCGCACTAATTTCGGTAGCCGAGCCGCAATAGTGAACGTCCAATCATCCTTATCTTTAGATTAGTTCAAACCTCTTAGATTCGAATTGGCTACTATAAGTGGCTGTGTCCTTAACGTATGGCAAAGATGGTCAAGTGCTCATCGATGAAGCGACAAAGAAAATCCGCGAGGGATTCTTTCCCTTGCCTCGTATTGGGTAAATGCCTAAATATTTATCTCTTAGAATAAGCTTTCGTTCAACGAACCGTATTGTCAGTATAGAACCTGTGGTCAGAGATACCTAGTAGCAAGCAGAAAACTAAAAAGAATCCGCATTATCGTCAAACCGATATGTACTGACATTTTATTGAATGAGGCTGTTGGATAGAATAACCCTGATTCATCGAATAATAAAAAATGTGACGACCTATGGCATCTTAGCTCTATGATATTAACAAAAAAATCTATCCCCTTTGCTTGCCTTGATTGCTCGGTGAACTCAAGTATCTGTGACCGTTCTCTCACGGGATGTTTCTAGGCCGCGTGAAACGATATTGCATGGTTTCTGTTGGAGGAGTGTTACGAAGTGACTAACATTGTCTTATCAAAAATGAGTCATCATTGAGGAAATGCCCCTGGGCACAGTTGATAGTCCCCCTACACCACCATATAAATTGCCTACTATGGCGTGCAAAATGTTCACCTCCTTTAAATGCGCCGCGTCTTAACCAAATGAACGGCTTTATATTAGGAGCCGTCAGGGTTCTGAAGAGGACAAAGCAGCGCTATGCATGATGCGGCAACGGGCGCTTTACTATAGCGGTTTGTCATGGCACGAACGTTTAAAGCAATGATGTCTACGTGTAAAAATACTCCCAAAACGCATTTTAAGATTGCGCCGGTATATTAGCAAATGGACATTTTAATTATTCAGGGCTTAATCTCTCACATTGCATCTCTGTTTATGTTCTTGCGTGAAATAGAATTATGGCTACAGAAAAAATACCAAAATCTCATGTTTCGCTCAAACTGCTAAAATGCGGGGGGTGTATTGTGTTTTCGACAGTGTTGTTTCGACTCTGAAAAAACCTTGATTTAATCTCTACATACAAAAACACCGTTCGGCTCTGCAAAGAAATCAAAACGATCTACAAATGTCTTATAGTTCCTTATTTGTTACCAAAAGACTTAGGTTCCTACACATACATACCCACGACGTAAAAAAGAGCTTAATGCTTATGGAAAAACAAAAAAAGGCCTTTGTTGTAGGTTAGCAAAGCTAGTGGGACTAAAGGTCTACCTAACTGGACCTTGATATGATCATTTGGTATTTCCTTGCCTTTTTCAAATTGTTCATTAAGGCGGCGTGTTTGACCAAGGAGAAAATAGCCATCTCGATGAGCATCTCTCGCGGGCTGTGGAGCGGGTAAATCGTGATGGAGCCCTACTCAGGGGTAGGGAACTGCAGTCGATCTCCTTTAAAACAAATCCGGGAGACAGTTTTGTTGCTTCGAAATGCGGTAAGTACAAAAGCCAACACCGAAATATTTATAAAGTAGGAAAAAGCAAAAATGCATAAACATAGCGTTCGCACAAAGGCACAAATCTTCTTTCGCTGTATCCATACGTTTCAAGCTTATGTCTGCAGTGACGCGTCGCTAGACAAGCGATTTGGCCATTTGCCCGGTGTTACTAATGCCCTAACAATATCTAACGCATAACTGGAAGTTAATGCTAGATTTTTTACTTGAACTTTTCAGTTAACATATATAGTGTTTTACATCCCTTGGTGCCTCATAACGGTACTCATTTTGGATATCTTGAGTACAAAGGTATAAACAACTAAGATTCACAGTGTATGCAGAGACGACAATAACAATAATACAAGGTCGGTAAAGGGCAAATGATATAGTGGTTTTCCGTTCAAGGCCATTTCAGACACAAACACACACAGAAAATGCCTATTCGCTAGAATGTACGACTTAGCATTCAGAGAGAGTAACATAACTATATCGAATATTGCCTCTAGACTTTCATAGAATGTCCTTCTCTTTCAGTGCAGGAGTCACATTGGCGGAACATTTTATCCGAGGGATATTATGTAGGTTGTAATGTGATTGTCATACGTTTTTATTTCATCTAAGAAATAGTTCGATCCGGAAACGAATCTTAATTCCACCTCAGTAGAAAGGCTGCAAACTATTAAGTGCAATAGGCATTTTTTTACTATGCCGGCGGTTATTTTTTTTTTAATTTACCATGCAAAAATTTTTCCTGAGACTAATCAACGAATTTCAACAAGCTTATTGTCTAAAGATAGGCGAAAACTATGTGTATAAAGCTGATACTAATGCAGGTTCTTTGATTTCACAGATTATTGATTAACGCGTCCTACACGCGTAAAAACCGCACGAGTTTGGCGGGCTGTGGCCAGGATGGAATGCGTTTAGGCAGGACCAAATAAATAAGATAATGATTAAAGATGGACGAAAGCGTTTCGCCTACTCTTTATAGATATAATAAACTAAACCTTTGAGCTATAACACTGTTAATGAACTCTCAAGCAAAGGTGTTGTATATTTTTCTAATATAGATCTCTTTTTTTTTCTATATGCGTGGTCATTCCAATGTGCTTGATTGATTGATGATCAATGTTGGACTGGGTTCGAACATCGATAATAAAAACGGTCAACTCATTCATATGATGACCCAGTATGTGAACTGGCTCGGCAAGGAGTGGTAGCGCTCGTAGGCCCCACGTCGTGGCAAGTGGCCACGTACGTGGCATCTGCGGCCGCTCGTCTTCACGTGCCTCATCTAAAGACATCTGCCGGAGGATTCCGTGAACGACGAAGTCCATTTTCACTGCAGCTGCACCCGGCCGTAAATCAGCTGAATAAGGCCTACTATGATCTCATTAAGAGCCGCAAGTGGAAGTCGTTCGCCGTGCTCTACGATAATGACAATGGTGAGAGAACTTAGCGGGTGCAATATTAGTATAGAAGCCATATATATAACTAACGATTACCAAAATGAATAAGCAAAAAAGGCTGTTAGATAAAAAGGCCGTTTATGTGCGTGCCAAACGGAGTACAATTTTGCGTTGTGTTCGTTTAACGGGTTCGTCGTTGTAGTGACCAGTCATGATGACTAAAAAGATGAATGCCAATGCTAATATTTATTTGTCAGAGTAGTGCTTGATCCGTTCAAATTTTCCCATTAAGAAAAAAGCTAAGTACCCGTACCCAACATAGTTCAGGTACTTTAAGCCTCGTTACCGCTTTGGCATTCTCAATACCTCTAACGTGCTAGCACGTACAATTTTCATATGTTCATACATAACTTGGTCACTGTATATAAGCAATGCCTGAGGAACGCGTACATAGACACGCCCCTTCAAATATTTGATTGCCCCTTGACAGCGAATTTTCTTGAAAAAAACCATAATTTCTAAAAAAATTATAGAGAGAAAGAAGCAGGTACAGACAGAAACGAGGTATTTCGAGAGAGGATGAGCATGTCGTTCACAAGGTATAACGTATCGGTTTGCGACGGACAAATAAGCCAACACCGAGGCAAAGAGCAGCGCCTTGCTAATGGATAGAGGTGTGAGAGATCCTACTGCAGATTCGTACCGTCCGTAGTAAAAGAAGAGTAATACAAGCGTGGCCTGGGTAGCTGGCGGGTTGTAGGCCTTCATGTCCCGTACAGACAACGTTTGTTTCGCTTGCTTGTTACAAGCACACAGAGTGTAGAGAGCGCGCGAACAGAAAATTTCGCGCTATGATGAAAGGCCAGGTTGTGGCGTACCGCTGCTTCTTCTAGCAGGTGCCGGTTCGACTAGCCGTGGAACGTAATTGGTGTCAGCCAGCCAACGTCTTCTTACCATACTGCTTCTTTTGCTATCGTCTCGTCGACGACATTCAACCTTCCGTCCGCTTTCCCCGTTCCAGACGTAGTGGGAAACGAAAACGACTGGCATCGCATCATCATATAACGATGGGAAACGAAGAACACCCAAAGCGAGATGCGTACAACTTAAGAGCAGCACAAGCAGCGCTAGGAGTCAACATACAACGCTAAAAGTACAACGACCCCATCGTTACCACTACCATCACGACGACGGGCGCCATCACATGCTCCACACAATGCTGTGATCCGTCGACTACCATTCAAAAGCAAACAGACAGGTCGACTGGATAGGAGTGTGAAGAAGGACACAATGAATGAGCAGGAAGACCAAAGGACTACGACAGGGCCGAGGGCAGTCTCTGGTATCTAGCAGAAAGCGGAAAACCGTGAGGCAGTGAACGCCAACCAGCGTCGATCAGTGTCGGTAGCTACTGGATGACGTTTCCGAAAACGGTCCAAAATATTCCGAGAGGAAAGTGTGGCTTTCTATTGCTAGCCTAGCGTTGCTTATACGAGAATGAGTAATAAGAGCCAATACGACGCGAGGCACAGTTGGTGACCTTGCCCGCCAACGCGAACATCATTATCGCGCACAGCATGACGAGTTACAGCTGCGAGATTGCAAGTGGAACGCATTCACTGACGTAGGGAGAAGATCAGCAAGAAAAGGAAAACGCGGTGATGAACAGAGAACGTTCCTGCGGGTTGAGGAACATATTGAGCCAAAAAAAAGGATAAGATATGAAGAGGGTATGCTCATCTTACTTAGTCTCAAATTTTTGATGACTATGCTATTTATCAAGGCAAACAGATGAAGTAGAAAAAGAAAGAGCTAAGCGACAGATATAAGCTACCTGGTGCAAAAAGTCGAAGACGTTATAGTTAAATACTTAATTTAGATAGATAGCTAAATAATAGTTCAAGCCAGCTACGAGACTGAGATTCGCGAACGAAACAAATATAAAATGTCGATGGTACGTAATCCTCTATTTTATTTTCCTACTACCAAAACCACCTCCTCGTATAAGTTACGTTGAAACTTGAAATGGTAGCAATTTTATTATTGCTCTTAAAACATCGAGTCACGTGCAATGACTCGAAGGTACCTCAATATAGTAAATTAAATAGCGTTGGAACAAAAAACAATGGCGGAAATTTGAAGCGCCATATTTTGCGTTAAGGCCTTTGTCAACCTGTCCTAAAGAGAGATTTTCAATAGCGTATTTTTTAGGTTTGAGGATCTTGAGGAACATAAATTAGATCTCGTTATACCAAACGCCTGAGTTCCTTAATCTAATTATATATACATAGAAACTAGTTGCAACTAATGCAGAAAAGTATTTGAAAATTTGGTACAAATACTAACTATTAAAAATGTTTTGTTAAATAAGGTATATATGTAAAGTACGCGTAACTCCGATTCACAAGATTCCAACAGGCTCTGCAGGTGATAGTCGACACTACTTATGGAATAGAGTTGTGAAATGGTGCCTTTTTTTCTTTGGTATATTGGATATTTCATTCCACTGCCGTAGAGGTATGAAGCGTCTGCAAGAGTGTGTAGTTAAATGACTTATATATTTAACGGGTTAATAAGACGATGTCTTACAAGGTACGCAATAGAATGAAATTATATTTATCAATCAAAGGCAACGGTGTAAACCTGTGCTAATTTTGGCTCTCCAATGGACGTGCTTGCGTGCAAAAAACCAAGGGTGCCATGAAAATGGTTACCGCAGCTTACACAAGATACAGGTTTGTACCGAATTTGACCAAGGAACAATAATCCGCTGAGGCGGTCGTATCATTAATTTTTTAGATGTACTGCAGTAATCAATGTTGACAGCGGCTTCAGAGGAAAGATTGTTGATGTATATAATTATAACAAATTAGATATTCCTAATCCTCATACAGAAGTTTTCCGATGCGTAATTTAGAAACGGTCCATGGCAATCGCGTAGTTCCTCAATCATAAGTTATTGCTAATTATTTAACACATATGGTCCCTGTGAAGGTTGCTTGTAAAAATTTCAACGGTTCCGTCTGCCTACCTGTAATTGATGTAACTCTTTTCCTTTCATTGAAGATAGGTGTACGTTCTTAACTTACTAATTAGTATACTCGAGATTCAAAAAACTGCCATCAACGTATGTTTAGTAATTTATTATGTGGTAAAACAGAAGTGAACATACATCAATTGATATGCCCAAGAGCGTATAGAATCGTCTAGGCTTAAGGATGAATGCTTTAGGCAACCAACCGATGATCCTGTATGCTCTCGAATATTTTGAAATTAGCGGTCTCATTGTACTGCTTAAAGTCGACCAGGGGTAATGAGGTAATCGCTTTCAAAATATCCAAAAACATAAAGGATCGTCTATGAACTAAAACATTCATACTTAAGCTTTTAGTGGCAAGTGACCCCAGGTGATTACTAGATATGGCCAATATTTTTTTAATTGTTTAATTTAAGCGAATCGTGTTGACATATGAACTTTGATCAAATTGCGCAATATACACTTAGGTTCACGTGGTTGATCCTTGAGAAGCTATGATCTGCATACCAAATGATGAGGATGTGTGCTTTTTAGGCAGCTAAAGTAGTCCGATCTTAATTTAAATTCATTCGATTTTGATAGATCATGTATGTTTAGCGCCTCTTTTTATTCGTTTCCAGTGTTTGTCGCGCTGAAAGATGTGCTCAACGCTTCCTTAAATCCTCCAAATGTGCTGATGTACCCATACAACCCCGCGCTATCCTTCAAGAAGATGCTCAAGGACATCGGCAGTAAAAACATCTACAATATCATTCTACACCTTGAACTCACCAAAGTGCCGCAGCTATTCCGAGAGGTAAAGAAGTAACGTGAAAAAAACATTTATAATTTCCATACTGGAACATCGTAGTTCCTATTATCATCGATCAGCCCAATATATAGATGACTGCATGTGTGAGGCATTGTATATTAAACGGAAATTATCAACTGTCCTAATTAAGAAAAAGGTACGAATCTATTATAAGCACGGCTGAAAAGGTACTGCGCATTTTTGTATTTGTATGTACGTGCAGAAAAATTCACTGATCTCATTTTCGCTGGGAACAACTTTCGGCAAAGAACTAGACGTCAGTTGCTGCCATTGGCGACAAGCAATATGTAATTAGCAGTACGATCTAGGCTCCATTGATTCTCGTCGATCAGTGACGTGTGGCACAGGCCGCAGGTAACGAAAGTTCTTTGAAGTACAATATTCAAGCAAGCAAGCAAAAGTTGACATGCTGTTCAGGGTCAAGAGGTCGGCATCACTTTGGATTCCACACCGGCTCATTACGTTACAGCCTTTGGCAACTGGGCAATACGACTGATAACCAAAAATCGATGTAGAAATCGGGCTTTTGACTTGATCGGCTAAATGAGTTTGGTATATGCGGTCAGCATAATCTCCGCTTAAAATTTGTCTCTGCATAACGTCAAAAAGTAAATGAAGAGATAAGCTTCTTTTGCGTCTTCAAACAGCCTCCTTGTGAAAACGTTATAACGTACATCGATGAAAACCTCTCGCTAAAGACAGCCGATAGTTTAGCTATAAAGTTATAGATTGTATTGGAACTAACACTCCTATTTTTCAAGCTATGGTGATTAGGGATTAAGCAAAATGTTAGAAGGATGACGAACGCTTGCTACCGTTGATACCTCTCATATCGGCGTCTACTCGTTGGCAGGAAATAGTAATGTTTATCTGTCCATTTCTCTTCTTTTCCTCTGGATCATCCTCAGATCATTCAAATTTAGAGGAGAATGAGAGACGATTTTTTTGATGTTGATGAGGTGAGGTTGTCGCATGTAAACGCATCAGAACCGACGAGCCTTTTCTATACGAACCATAAACGTAATATAATACGGAACTTATAACTATATAGTTACAGTAATGCAATATCCGGTTGGCTTTGTATGTTATCTCTCTGTTGTTAAGTTTTTGTGTTATCGTTCCATATGCTTAAGTATGTGGTTCATTGTCCATATTTAGCGTTTTCACTGGAATATAGCTGCCATATTAGTATTGTGATATATTACCGTAGGTAACTTTCTTATATTTATCAAAATAAGAAAAAAGCTATATTATGCATAAAGAAATTCAAAGGAAATAACGTTTAAGTCACTGTATGTTTTTCTTTATGCTCTATATATTTCCCCTAAATATATAGGGCTCGTTAAATGTGCTCTGATTGTACGGACATAGTTACACGTTGAAGTCATGAAATACTTGAAAGGAACTGAAAGTTTTTTTAACATGCTTAAGGCCACAAACCTCTGTCGGCAATAGGGAACAACAAGAGAATATTTACTTAAAATATGTTATGTTCATCTCTAGGATACCTAATAATTAGGCAACATATAGGCTACCAATGCATAACCATTTTTGTGCATAAGTTTAGCATGCTTGAATGATAGATGGCGCTGTAACTACAACTTCGATAATCGCAGCTTGTTGTCAAAGATATTTAAGTTATATTGTAGCTGCCCCGGTTGTCATTTACGCTGAGCACACTTCATTGATTACGAGATTTGGAATCGTTGCTATGTTTCAGTTTGGAATATAGAGATTTCCATTACTTTGCGCTATTATCTATTATCTAAGCTAATTTTGCCATTATTTATAAATTATATATCGAGTATTGATATATTATAAATATTCCGCTTCGGAGGGTATGCCACGTTTCCACGTAGCCTGAAGATGTGCGTACGTTTCCAATACATTTGCACATGGCCACACAATCTGAAGATCTTCACACACCGTTTTCTATAAACTGTTGATGTAATTATCCTCAAACCATAAAATAATTAATGTGGTGCAAAAGCTGATGAACTGCTGGATAAGGACAAATTAATTCCAAACATATCTTTAATAGCTGAATATGAAGCTTGAACTTAATCGGTTCGCATATTATTATATACTTGTATGAAGTAGACTTCAGAGCTTTCTAAGATGGCGTTGTAGTGTCATTTAAGAAGTGTCGTCGATCGATCCGGCCCAAACTGTGGCTCAATTAGAAAACTTTGGTCTTAAGGCTTGAACGATTTAGATAAAGCCTTGACCATGACCTTAAATGTTAATTTTAAGCTTCTAATTATATATGGTTTCATTCTAGGCGGAGGAGGTGAATCAAACGACACTCTACCACGACTATATTGTCATGGGCCTCGTGAGTACCATATACACGTATCCCAACTTCCGATTATTATCTACATTTTATACTTTCCGATGTTTTAATTTAAGCACAAAAGAAAAATATTACGTATAGTATCGACTATCATCGATCATAGCGTCCAGACGAAAATTATTGTCTCCGCGGAGCTGTTATCAATTTACGGTACTCTCGCCCGTCTGCCGTTGACAGCGTCTGGGTTACTGGTCAGCTGTCTCAAACCATGCACTTACCTTTACATCCAATTGCCGCGGTTACTCGTATTATTTGTGCATAAGACTGTACAAGTATTGCCAATGAACTATGGAAGGGATACGCGCCAGAGTAGACATACTGGTCTTTGTGGGCACGAGGGGTTGTTTGAAGAAGGCTATATATATTACATAGGATGCACCCCCAAACAAGCTCAAGGCGAAACCATCCAAGCGCAAGTGAAGACTTGGGGACGCCAGCTCGCATACCGGCACAGCTAAACCAGGCTGGCCCAGTGCTCTTAGGTAGCGCGACGGGTAAAATCGTGACCATCTGACAGCGGTATCCTAGCCGACAGAGCTAAGCCCAACGAAAAAGAGGATAAGTTAAAGGATGTGAAGAAGGAAAAAGATGTTACTGCAAGTGAGCCGGTGACGGGCTGGAATTTGTGCTTCTCTTTCGGTATCCTACTTTTATCCTCTTCAACGCTTCTTTCCCCTCGTTCCTGCAGCCGCCTTGCATTGGACACCGTAAGATTTCATGGACGTATTTTACTGTAGCTTACAACATCTAAGAGGGATGCGCTTGCCAAACCGTCTGCACAGTAGTATATTATTCAGCCTGCCGCTGACAACACAAGGCAACGCTGGTTCTCATGCACTGAGGTCCACAGATATACAAGCATTACTGTGAATGAAATTACTACGTTACCATCAACAGTGAAGACGGTGGGGCGTGATCTAAAACGCGCAAGTGGATGTGTGCGTGTGTGTATGTCTGAGGCCAATGTGTGAACGAAAGAGGGCGAAGGTCCGTTCTACACGCTTGTCTGCTCTTGAATAGGTTCGAAAGTAGCATTTTCTGTATGCATTCCATATCGAAAGATATCCTCTTCCTGAAGACAGGCGCATCCACTGACACAAAACCCCCCACTTCCTACAAGATTTTGCCTATTCTTATGCTCTTCTGCTACTTAAAGCAGAGCAACAAAAGCCTTAGAATGTAAGAAGCTGCAACATAAAACAGAGAGGGAAACAAGGAAAAATAACTATATACATAGATAGAGGTGTAGAGGATAAAGGAATCGCATGACACAGAGTGGCATTGCAAAGGAAGTCTATGACTGTACGACATGTAAGGAAAGCTAGCTGAGTTTTGTTCTGCGTGTTTCAATGACGAGGCGTTCATCGTATTATGCTATGATTTGAACTGATTTCCTTAGTTTGAAAGCTGGAAAGGACCGTAAGAGGCGTACCGTATGCATGACTTTTTTCTCTGAAGTATGGTCAATGTGCTGACTATGATGTGGCTTCATGCAGGTATGTCGTTCTGCAAATGAGATATTCAAATTTTCCAAAAGAAAAACTGAACGAGAAGGACTGCTGTTTGACTAAGTCGTGCCTTTTGTGCGTAGAGATTACAAACCTTTACTAAAAAGTGTACGCAAGTTTTTTCAAAGGAGCGGTCCTCTTAAGTTGAGGCTATTGCCATATAAAATATGACCGCTCTGAGCACGGTGAAGAGGCAGTACATATACATATAGGAGTCGACCAATAACAAGCAAACCAATGCTGGCGGTGCCAGAAACTCTATAAATCAATACGGAAGATATGCAGCCCAAGGACAGTTATGAGGCAAACTACTTATTCTTGAAATTGTGTCTAAATTTGAATAACCGCTGTTTTTTTTCTAATTGATGACTTTTCCTGTGTCTAGGATTTCCACACCTTGGATTTACGCGAGTTCTACTCGCTTAAAGCTAACGTGACCGCATTCCGCATCATCGACCCGGATCGCGTAGCCGTGCAGCTCGTGCGACGCGACTGGGCGCTTACTCAGGGTCTCCAACCGGATTCTGGTGTCAGTGCCAGCCATTCAAAGGGTTTAGGATCGCCAGGAAAAAGGGGTTTAACTGGAACAGCGCTTTTTTGGCGAAAACCCCGTGACCTTAGCAGCGGACTACCAGCTTCTATTGATCAGATGTCGGTAAGTAACTTTCATGGAATTAGAGGCTTGAATACACTGCGGACGTTTTTACTTTTTTAGAGTTGTTAGATAATGGCAAAGAAAGCGAAAAGATGATTTAGGAATTTGTTTATAAAAAAAAAAATAGGGTTTATCCAAGATTGCGTGCAGTGCCGCTTTTAAAAAAAGCCAAAGGTAAGGAGCGAAATCTCTAGGAACCTTGCCTATCAAAGGAAACATCTCGACCTTCGTCGAACGAGACGTAAATCGTTCCAGACGAAATATTTTTTGTGTAAAATGTTCGCTCGGTTGATTTCGGTTTTTTATATTTACCTTAAGAACGACGAAGATCACAAAAAGAAAGAAGTGCATAAGTACTGAGAGGTTCTAAAAGCATCTATTGGTGTAGTTATATATTATTATTATTAAGCACGTTTCAACGGAATAATATTTTTTTTTAACGTAAAATAGATCTCTTAATGTTTGGAAAATGTTACTATTTTTCATTTAATTTAAAGTATTTTGGCTGACGTTTGATCAAAATGGGGCCGTGATACTTATCGAAGACTTTCGTGATGCCTGCATTTCATACCTTTTCCGTGCCTGGCTGAAAAATAATATCAGTGCACATAGAAATAGCCCGCGGCTGAGAAATTATCAACTTATTTTATATTATATATTGTTGAAAAAACGCTGTTTAGTAATTTTTTTGACGATTATTTACGTGCAAAACAGCCATGCTACGGCGATTTGTGCTAATTTTTCTGTGAATTTTCAGCACATCAAAAAATCTTCAATAGATATCGATGATTTTTCTATTTTTCGCTTAGAATTCGAAAATCAATAAGATTAATTTCAGAATACTTTCGGTAAACGGAAAATTTTATGTCAACGACCGAGGCATTTTTGAAAAATCTAACTATACCGTATTAGTGGATGCACCTTAATAAATACAGTTCGGTGAAGAAAATTATCGGTTAATCTTATTGTTCTCGTGAAACACGTACCGTTATCACCATGTATATTTGTGTTGGTTCACTACTATCCTCCTAGATGCTTTGTTCTGGACAAAGCATACGTTTCTACAGACGTTTGATTTAATATTTCTGTGTTCGTTTCCCTGTTGTGCGGTTGATTTTAACAAGAAGGCAAATACGATCTGTTCGAGGAAACTTCCCTTAAAGGAAAACCATTATCTTCGTTAAAATCTTGTCTTTTTATTGTCTCGCCAAAAAAATATTCATCAGCACAAGGCAGGCACATTTGCGTCGATACCTGCGTAAACGGGGCCGACAGAAAAACAACAAACGGGTTTTCGAAAGTCAACCTAAGTGTAACCACATATATTGTTCCGCGTGGATAGAAGTTTTTTGGCTCTAGCATTAAGATAAGCATATCACTTAGTAATAAACACAGTTAGAATTTGCTTGTTGCTAAAAAAACGCTTTTTATGTCTTGACAAAACAGATTGGATAAATGTTGAAAGAATGTATGTCTAGCTTATGCAAACCATTACAGTATTCGCAATAAAAACACCGCTATCAGAACAGGACTATGTAATCGCTTTTTGCTACAAACAAACAAGCCTTCATAGGCTAAATTCAGGACTCTGGCCAGAATTGTAGAATAATAGATATTTTTTACAATTCTCAGCTTTAGAGCACTATTGATTATTAGAAAACAGAACTAACTGTTTTGTCATAAGCATATTTACCAAGCTTCGCAATCGATAGCATTGTAGATCTTCTTAATGAAAGTCAACGAAGCTTACCCCTCTCCTCTCTAGCACCGCCTAAAAGCAAGAATGAGTGTTATTCTCTAATTAAGGAGTCCGTAAAATATTGCGCAGACTTACATTCCTAAAAGCGTTAATTATGTCTGAATAGGAGCCGGTAACATTTAGAGTAATGGTGGTTGCATATTAACAGAGTTTGTACATAGTTTTAAACAATATCAGCGCGTGTGACAGACTAGGGTCAATCGAGCTTTTTTGAATCTCCCTTGGGGGGGGGGGGGGGGGCGATTATGACCCACCAGTCCACCATTTGCTTTGGCCTGCCCTAGTAAGTGCTCTACCGAAAATATACTAGACTGCCTATAGATTTTTGCGCCTTTGAAATTCTATACGGTGATAAACACATTCATAAGTCACCTCGAACACAGTTATGACGTACACCCTAGAATATACCTATATTTATATATAGAACAGAATGTTTCAGTAGGGCGGTCCTCACAGTCTGTGTATATGTATATATTCTCCGTGTGTGATTATGAAAAACACATAGGGGGGGGGGGGGGCACCGTTCGAAGACCATTGACAAGTGCGGAATATTATCAAATAAAAAAACACCAACGTTGGTAGTTCTTTTCCTTCTTACGAATCTCACTTTTCAATCGATCAGAGGTTTGGGAATATCACTACCAGGCCGAAGAAAATCGTTACTCCTACAGCCAAGCAGACACCTGAACGTACGTATGTGATGCAGCGACTACTGAACAACAGTTAGAAGCATGTTTGCTCCTATGATTGTCAAGAGGTTTTTACGTTGATGTCAGTCCTGTCAGCAGTATTGTAATACTTTCGAGTTCTCGGCATGATATCGAAGGCATAGCAGGTAACAGTATTTGCAAAAATACGTATCTCTGAAATAATGATAATGAATGTTACAGAAGACGTTACAGAACCCACGGACCGCATATCTGGTGAGTGTACAGCTTATGGTGTTGTCTTAGTGTTAGAAAATGTAGCGTCAAAGTCGGATATTTTCTTCTATCTAAGAACTTCTAATAAATTGGAGATATCCAAATTTTTCTGGCAGTAAGTATAGTTTACGACAAACAGCGGCGTATCTGCCAGTGCGTAGTCTGATCGCTTCTTTATGGACGGATGCAGTCCCACTGGAAGGAAAATTTAGCCTTTTCTATGCGTAAGATGCATAGACAGAAAGGTTATCCCAACATGGCTCTATCTCATCAGAGGATATCTGGAGCATCTTATCTAGGAGGAATGAAACGAGGTAGTCAACAGGTCTCCGCAGTCCTTCGATCACAGATGAGAATATAAAAGCTTTCTTTTCTAGGTGCGCTGCAAACGATCTACCACTCGGAGTTAGCGGGTTATCCAGTACTTCTTCGTTTAGTCGAAGTGTACCTACATTTGATAACTGTCCCCTTTGTTTGAAGTTTAGGACTTGCGATTTCTATGCGTTGATCTCTAGTCTGATCTCTGATACGTAAATGAAGACAGAGAGTATTTGTTACAAATGGTGTGTACGCCGGAAAATCATCTGTGTGCATGAAAGCGTTCACTGATCTGTGCTTATCTGTCATTCTTCGTAATCAGTATCAAATACCGGATCGCAGTGGGGTTGTCGTTTCACGGAAATTCATTCATCTCAGGGTTTAGGGTGTGATTTCTTGATTGTTTACTCTAATTTATCTCTTCATCTGCTGTCGTCATTTGAGCAGGCATTTTCATACATTGCCTTCTATCTTGCCTGGCCAGAACACTGTTAAATTAGAACTGTAGGCGACTCGGATCGACACGGGTTGATATACGCTATTCTCGTGCCTGGCGCAGACACAAGTGAGATTGTTACTGCTCCTAGTTTAGGAGTTGGCTTTCCCGCCGGCTGTTTACGTTTAGCCTGCGCTATGATGCGTTCTAATAAAATTTTTGTGTGCTGTAGTAGGACGAATAAATGCTGACGCCTAACCTCAATGTTTCATAATCTTAGTTCCCGAGCAACCGTGGTTCCGCCGCGGCCTAGTTTTCCTGGTTTTTATTTGCTCTGTATATAACTGGAGCAACCTTGTGATGAGTTCGTGATACAATTCGACATCTGGATGCACGAGTGCGCTAATATAGTGAGTGTCATTAGTTGCAAGCAACACTGGCTAGTATTCTATTAAAAACCTTGTTGATTCCCATAGGAATGTCCAAGTCAGTGGGTATACGCCGTATGATCGCTACTCCTTGACTGACCCCATATTTTTTGTGGAATAATCCTATGCTTGTTTTAGGCATATGGAAAAAAAAGCATACGACAAACAATCCCATTGGTTTCAGGACCGTTGAAAATCAGTCGACGGTGTGTTACCCAAAAATCATGGTCACCTACAGTTCCGAGTAAGGAAAACGTTCTACTGCTCGCTTGCTTGTCCTGTCACACATTTAAGTTATATAGTCCTCGTTTTCACAGTACTGTCGCTCTATGTACGGAATCAATTTAATGACCGGCTCTCGAGGCGATCCCGGCTATCTTACGCACATCGCGACAATCCTCTTTGATTCAATGGAAACGTAGTCATCCTCAGTCTTCAGCCGATCAGGGGGACTGTACAACATTGGTACAGAGGCGATCTCGTGTGTTTGTATGCGTTGCCAGGTAATGATGGAAGTTTCGCAGTGAAAATACTCATATTTTGGTAAGAACTAACACATGTCAGTGTCTTGATAAACGAACTAAAACAGAAAGCTTGCTAAGGTGTCGGAATCTTTAGAGTTGCATTGAGCAATTATTAGAAGTTCATCTTTCTTTGTTTTGAGGACAAGTGTTGCTCGTATTCTACCATATTCCACTTTTACATACCATATACCGTATTTGGATTTGCGTATAAGGAACTGCTTATTTCCTCTCAAGCCTGTTTACAGGCTGCATCGACGTAATTACTCCTCATGTTCTAGTCTGCCGTATTTTCGATGCTAATGTGGATCGGGCCCCACCACCTCAAAAAAAATTAACTGTCGTGAAGACTATCGCCTTGGCGACGGTCTCACTAGTCTCAAAGATCGCTTTGTAGAAGTAGCCATAATCTTTCGGTCTGCTTGTTACATTGGTGAGACATAAAGTATGTACCGTTTCTTTTTCTTTGCTCCCTGTACGTCATTGGCCTTTCTGTGTGATGGCGAAAGCTGTGGTTCGAGTTAGGACGGATAACTTCGAATCGATATGGACCCTTTACACTTTGTTCTGGATGTTATTCTGTTTTATGCGATCGTCATATAGACAGTGTTCTAT